CACTTGCGAAGGCTGTCTCTTACTTATAGTAAACCCAGCATGGCCGACATTCATCTGTTTTTTTTTTCTGCTGAGCAAATTAAATTCACCATCCTTCCAGGCGGCGCTATGTTCAGGCTTTCGCCGTTTCATACAAATCAACGATGTTGCATGATGTTCCCTCAAATTTCTGAAGGAGATGCTTCACGAGTTCATCCCTTTATAGCACATGTGGGCAACCGGCGGTCTATGGGCCGGATCTGGACCGCGACACTTTTTAATTCGATCCGTGGAGGCAATCGGAATGTGATGCCTATCTAGGTGAACGGGGGTTTATCCTCCACCACCTAGCTGCACTCTCATAAAAATAAATAATAAGTAGCGGCACGCACCACGGTAGCCGGTAAGCTCTTGTGTTCTGCGTACTTCCCTCTAGCGAACGTTTGCCTGCTAAGGATTTTCGCTGCTTTGCATTTTGTTCTGTGCAAAAATAGTTAAAATGTTGTCAGGTTCCTAAGCTGCAAAATTTCTCACGAAAGATTTCATGCACCGGTACATGAAAGTTGAATTTGAAACTGTGGGCGGTGGACATCCTTCCAAAACTTTAGCTTCCTGATTTTATGGCTTTCGAGCGATTTTCCCTACATAATTTTTACGTAGTCGTATTTGAGACCTTGGCACACTTGGGAACTAAATTTGAATTTGTGAGGCCCTTGCATAGGCAGAAAACATCCCCCTGAAATTTTCAATCCTTTAACTTCTGCGATTTTCGGGATAAAAATTTCCCCATCAAAATTTTCAGGGGGCCATACGTGATATGCGGATGTGCGAGAAGGTTGACTTTAAATTTCTGTAGTTGTAAGTAGGCAGAAGTCATTATCCCAAAAGTCCAGCTTTCTAGCTCCCGTTGTTCCCAAGATAATAATTCCTAAGCCAAAACTTTCACCGGACTGCAGGAAGTGCCCAGGGCAAGGGAAGGCTAAAACTAAATTTGGAAAGGGAATACTCCCCAAAATTTTCAGCTTTCTAGCTTTTGTGGTTCCCGAGTTGAAAGTTTCGGGCACACGCACACACATACACACACAAACGCACGCACAGACAACCCTGTGACAATGTATGTTTTATCCAGCTTTTGCACAGCAAAAAAACATAATAAAACTAAAATGGGCTCGAGGCTAATGTACAACAGCCTGGAAAATGTTTTGAGACTCTTTGCCAATGATATAAATCCGGATTTCGGCAACCTTGTACCAAAAGATCTAGACCAGAGCTCATACTAACCTGCTGTTGTTTATTTTTATGCGTTTTTGCTATGCAGCGCTATAGCAGCGCTATAGCGCTACTACAGCCTGCAAAAACGCATATCGTCGAAAGGCTGTCTGTGTGTGTATATTCGGGAGCGAGTACATTTTGTCACCCAATTTTATTTCAGCAACCAGGAAAGCTGGAAAGCTGAAACTTTGGATATATGTTCCTACCCAGTGTGTCATCCTCCCGCTTTAAGATCTTTCCTCATACGCGCCTGGACCCCACGTACGGGACCCCCAAAGAAATATGTTGGCGGAAAACGATTTCGCGAATCAGGCAAGGTAGAAAGCTGAAACTTTGCAGGGATATTCACTATGCAGGTGCGAGCTAAAAATTTTAAACTCAGCTGTCTAGTCCCCGCCCCCCCCCCCTCCCCCCTAACCACAGCCTCAAGCAGCTCCTCAACCCAAAAATCGTTCGCAACTCCGACCTGAACCACAATCGTATATGTAAAGAACATGGATTTTTTGAAAAACGACCGCTCCAGCAATACTTCCGTTTTTTAGGGAACTGGAAATTTGCATTTGTTATTTTTTCACAAAGCGAGCATTTACCGAAAAAAAGAGCAGATTTCACGCAAAAAACCAGTAGTCATGCACCTGGGTGTCCGTGCGGCTCTATAATGCGCCACCTTCATCCCAACTGATGCACTTCCTCCTGCACGTCGGAGACGGCCAAAACACGGCCAATATGAGCCCAAGTTTTTGGCTACAGCGTAGGAATCATTCCTGCTAATAGAGATCTGCGAGTTTAGTGCAAAAACACATGATCACACCGGGCAGCCTGGTGCGTTCCAGCCTGGGTTACATCTTATGCAAATGCAAAGACGCATAATGTCGAAAAAGTCTGTGTGTGTGTTTGAACCGAGTGAACTTTGTCACTCACCTTTAACTCAGCAACGGGGGGAGCCATGATACAACACTGCCGTCTCAACCAGTGCCCTTTTTCTCCGTATGCTAGAAAAGACCAAAACACACGCACATGAGATGCACAATGTTAAACTGCAACGCAACAACCATTCATGCTGTTAACGATCTGAATGCATCAAGTTTAGCGCAAAGATGTATGATCGCATGAGCAAGCCTGATGCGTTGCTACCTGCGCTTTATTAAAAGGTGGCTCGGGGGCTTAAGAAAGTATGTAAATCAGGCTCACGTTTCGCCAAAGGTTGTCCATGCCTACTCTGTAACGACTTTTGTTACAAGTGAATATCGAGAGGTTTAGTTCGTTTCCCAGTGAAATCCTTTGGTCGTCTAGGATTTTTTCGGCTTCTTACGTTCCGGTTGTCGGCTCGCCGACGTATTCTGGGTGACAGGGCACGTAGGATGTTGGGACCATTTTTTCTTGTATTTTATGTTGTTTACCATGCCGCGTCGAACAGCGTTTATTTTGCTTTTTGCGCTGATCTGCTTGTCTTTTACTATCTTTTAACTAATATAAAGTAAACTGAAATTCTAGTGATCTCATTTGTCACTGATGGCTGAGCGGAAATTACACAAGCTAATGATTGCCGCTGTGGTTTTACTGTGCTTTCTCGTTCTTGATGTCGGAACGATGCGAATAAGAAGAGATGACGCGGAAACCAAGGGCCAAGAAAATCCAGCAGAGCACAAAGAAATTCAGTATAACGACACAAACGATGAAGAACACGCAACTCATTCTACAGACAGTGACAAGGACCACAAATCAGACCATCATGAGAAGCACCATCCGGAACATAGTAAAGAACATGATGACAAAAAGGAGCAAGATCACAGCAAGGATGAACATGACAAGAAGAAGCACGATAAGGATCACAGCAAGGAGCAGCATGACAAAGGAACTCACTGCCATTGTCACTGTCATTTTTACTGCCACAGTCACGACCTTCATGATAACTATACAGACAGCGATGAGCACGACCATGCCCATACTAATGAGAGCCATACGGAGCACTGTCATCATCATCATCATCGCCATCATCATCATCATCACCATGATG